CCCCCGGCAGCGGGCCAGGGCCCCAGCCATCAGCTCCGAGGGGAGTGGGCAGCGTTCTGGCACTGGCGCTCCCAACCCGCTTCCCTTCACCACCCTCCCGCCCCACCACACGGCCACCCCCAGCAAGCCAGGGCCAGCTGCCTACTGCTCTTCTTTTTTAGTTCTTGGGCACTGCAAAACCTGGAGTCGGGGGACTGCTGTCACCTAGGAGACCCCTCTGCTCCAACTGATGATGGATTCGTGTTGTTCCGATGGTGCAGGATCTCAGGATGTCTCCGGGCTCATCCTGGCTTCAGCTCATTTTAGCGTCTTTAGCTACAATGGTAATTGCCTGGGCGAAAACTGTTGTCTTAATTTGGTTTAATTTGGCTTTAGTCTCCAAGACTAGCAAGCCAGTATCCAGCATGTGCCTGGGACCACAGATCGAACCGTGATGGGACAAGGTCAGGTGGAGGAGGGCACCAGCAGCACGCGTCCCATAACCAGGAACCACAGCGCCCAATGGAGCGCGCCACCCTGCGGGTTGGGGACAGCTCTCGGGGAACCAAAGGTCGGAAAAGCCAAGTAACAGGGAACCGCAGAACGCAGGCCATGCTGAGAAAGTGCCTGAGAACGAAACCAGGCAGACCAAGACGGAAGAGGAAGGCGGCCCACCACAAACGTCGTATCCTTCCAGCGAAGACCGCGGGGCTGGGGCAGCTCATCACAGCCCTTCCCCATTTCTCCTTAGGGGGCTGGAAGGAGGCTCCATCAGGCCACCTTTAGCACCCAAAGGTTCTCTGGAGGGGGACACAGCACCAAAGCAGAGCAGCAGGTACCAGGCAGAGGGTTGGGGTTCCCCCCGTATAACCTTAAATGTGGGGTGAGACAGGGGGTTGACCATGCCCCTGTGCTGGGCACTGGTGAGGCCGCCCCTGGAATGCTGGGTTCAGGGTTGGGCCCCTGACTCCCAGAAGGACCTGGAGGGGCTGGAGCGTGTCCAGAGAAGGGCAAGGAAGGTGGGGAGGGGT